ACAAGAAAGTTCTAGAAGGTGAGTGAAAACCTACCAATATATACATACTGTGTCAGAGCTAGAAATTTTTACAAGTGAAGGTTAGTAATTAATTATTATTATTTTTCATATCCTACGTGTGCCTATTTGTAAACATGTTACCACGTAGAAAAATTGTATGTTCAGGTTATGAAAAATAATCTTATCAGTAGGATACAGTCATAAGCATTTAAATTATATTAAAATCATTTTAAAAAAGTTATAATTATTTAACATAATTTAATAAAAATTTAACGATTAAAAGATTACTAAAATATTTTCTATGTCTGCCACATAATACTCCAATTATACATTTTTAGCTATCTGTAATATTTCACTTGTGAAATCCCAATGACGAAATTAGAGCACATGGACTTATAAGAAAGAGGGAGGGAAGAATGGAAGATCTAACAGGTGAGATACAAAAAATAAAGTACACGTGGCGAGTTGCCGGCCATGAGTTGATGAGGTTGATTCCCCCTGCGTTTGGCACCTTTAGACGAGCACTCAAAGATACAAGCTATGATGGGTATGACATCCACAAGGGATGGCAGGTAAATAATTCGTTTCAATGATAGTGGTCCTATAATTACACCATTTTCGATACAATATCAAATTAACGTGCCAAAGTAAAATTTTAATATTTGAGTAGCAAAAATACTCTCTAATATAATACAATTTTATGTTAAAATTTGACAAATGCCGCTAAGTATAACATATATCATTATTCATATTTTGATATTTGATTTTTATTAGTTGGTAGATTTACCTCTTCATTAAATCATTAAACATTGGTATTTTAAATTATTTGAAAATTAAAAATCTACTGTTACAATATTCAATTAATGGTTAATGAAAAAATATAGGTATAGTATTTTAATTAGCATTCTATATGTATTGGTATTATAAATGAAAAGAAAACTGTTAAAATATGCTAGTTTTACGTTTTAATGTCAAATATAACTTTAACATTAGTATTTGCATTGCATTAGAGATGATCTTGTCAATATTTCATTTATTTTCTTAAATGGGTTTTCCTATATGTACATAAATATACATGCAGGTGTTTTGGGTGGCGTATGGAACTCATATGAACAAAGATGTGTTTGACAACCCAACAGAGTTTGATCCGTTACGTTTTTTGAGAATCCATCGAAACCAATCCCACCTTATGCTTATGTACCTTTTGGTGGAGGGCTTAACACTTGCATTGGCAATGAGTTTGCCAGAGTTGAAACACTTGTTACCATTCACAACTTCGTCACTTTGTCTGAATGGTCACAGGTCAACCCCGAGGAAGTCACCCGCCAACCAATGCCATATCCGTCTTTCGGTCTTCCAATCAAGATTATCAAGCCTAGAAAATCCATTTAACAAAGCATCTAATTGTTTATTGCCTTTATATAAAGTACTGCTTTCTGATGCTGTTAATTACTATGGGACAAGAGGATACTGGGACCCCCATCCGCAACCAATGCGTCAATTTATACACTCCACATCAAACCCGTGATTAAATCTCAGAAGAATCCTCACCCTATCTCCTCCTTCCAATTCCGACAGACAAATCGCCCATTCCGTCACCGGAATCCTCATTCCGGCCTCCAATGATCTGTACACCATCTCCCGAACCTAATATTATTGCTATCACTATCATGGCCGTAGCTCAACTTATTTCTTTCTAAAAAAAAGCATATATATAAAAATGTAATTTATTATACTCATATACACGTAGCCCCCGCTAAATACTAAAAATTAATCTAATAATTTTATTATGATTATTTTTCAATTATTATTCCCGACTGACAAAATTTTCTGCTTTGTTACTAATCATTATCGATATTCTTCCCATGCCCGAGCCAGCCATTGCATGCAATAAGGTGATGTTTAATTTATGGGTTCAAAATCATAATTTATGATTTTAATTATTAAAATTTAAATTTTTAGTGAGAGAAAAAACACTGTAACAGAACCAAAAACTATAATTTTAAACTATACAGAATCTTTAAAATAAACGTCACATAATACTGTCAGCAAGCCTTGTGACGAATATCTGCTGATGATCATCTGCGAAGGAAACGATTAATCTTAGGGCGCAGCGCAGCATCGAGTTCAATGCAGCTCAACAAGGCTATGACCATGTTGTCTATCGTTGTACAGCATCATGCGAATTTCCAACTCCACATATTTTTCTCTTTTTCGCTTGGATCCTTCATGGCCATAAGCAAACTTTCCAAAATATAAGTAAAAAAAAAAAACTCGCTGTATCTCGAACTCGAATTATATTATATCCACAACTTACTAATGTAATTTTAAGGGATGTGTCTATATATTGGGTCACTCACATCTTTCCTAAAATGAGATTCATAACCTTTTATTAAAGAGGTTGACGTATATGACTAAGGCATATGTATACAGACACACATATATATATATATATATATAGTTCTTTAGTCCTGCAGTAACTATTTACCTGACTTATCTTATAAGTGATTTTCAACCGTTCGATGGAAATGGACGGGCGGGATTCATTATGTCCTTGCACAAGCATTCACAAGTGCTAGCTTCCGTACATTGCAAGTGGCAGCTTTTATTGGCCATGTGTTGAACGAAGAGAAAAGGGAGAAGGAAGAGTGAGATTGGTGGCTACGTGTATATGTGAGAGACAATGGATGATGTGAGAGACAAGGGAGATGGCTGTAAGAAAAAAATATATTAAAAATATGTGAAACCCAATTAAAAAAAAAAAAAAAAAGCTCTTTCTCTAGACAAAACAAAGAGAGGCTTGATTAGCAAAAAAAAAAAAAAAAACGTGTGAGGCTTAATCGTTTATGGAGGGGGAAAGAGCTTAGTAAAAATAATAGCTTTTATAGTTTTACAGTAGGCGAAAAATATAAGGATCGTGTCTGTAAAATTTCATTATTTTTTGACGTCATTTTTATTTTATTTTATTTTTTAAAGATGAAAAATAAAGAAAATCATAAAAAAATAGAATATTCATCAAAAAATAGTGCCGCTTATTGCATTAATTGATAAAAATCATATATTAAATTTAGAATGTAAAAAATAAATAAAACTATAAATTTTTTACCTATCCCGTCCCCTGAGCTGGCCCCTGAGCGCCCCACTACGCGGGCCGGTGGCTTTTTGATAGGTTTAACTTTTTTTGTCATTTTTTGAGGTAATTTTTTTCTGACATGCCTAGAAAAATGTAAAGATTGTGTCTGTAAAATTTCATTATTTTTTGACGTCGTTTTTATTTTATTATATTTTTTAAAGATGAAAAATAAAGAAAATCATAAAAAATAGAATATTCATAAAAAATGTAAGGATTGTGTCTGCAATATTCCATTTATGTTATTTATCTTTTGTACTTTTTATTTATGTGTTATGTACTAATTTTGTGTTTCTATTTATGCCGTTATTATTTTTTGCATTTTTAATCTACTTGTATCTATTGTTTTCTCTTACTTAAGTCTTAAAAAAAACGATTTAATTTGTATTTCCTTCTATGTTCTTCACTTTTTGTACTTTTTACTTATTTGTTATCTATTATTTTCTCTTACTTAGAGCTTAAAAAAAGTGGTCAAATTAAATAATATTTGAATTACATTTTGAACGTGGCTTCCGAATCTACAAAACTCACTTCATCAAAATAAGCTGTGCGGTCTAAATGTTAAGAAAAATAATAGAGTATGGCGATTAATTAGAACGTATTTGTTTACATCATACAATTATTTTTCTAATAGACAATAAATATAACAGTCAAATTCATGCAATTGCATGTGCCTACTTTTACTAGTTTCTTAAAAAAAATGAAAATATTTTAAGACATTAAAATATTTAAAGGAAAATAATAAAATAAAAAGTTCATGATTTTTTTTTCTAGATTTATTAGATTTTGATTAAGTAAAAGAGTACTAAGGTCATTTTACATCTTAAAAATCAACTTCAGAGTACCAAGAATATGTTTTTAAAAACGTTGAGATATCATTTTAATGTTATCAAGAACACAAGATACTAAAAGCATATTTCCCTATATACATTGTCACTTATGTTCATTAACATGAAATACAACAAATCAATCAATATACATATTTTTATACTATATGTTTACTTAATTGTTATAAAAAATACATGTTTTGAGGATTAATATACATTGTCGTTTCTTACACTACAACAAATATCAATATCAATAGCTGACTAAAAACGCTATTAATCACTAGTAATAGCATTTTTTGGAGCGCTAAGACAGCGAGCGCTATTAAAAATCGTATGAAAAAATAGCATTTTAAGAATGATGGAAAGCGCTATAGAATTGAGGAATTATAACATTTAAGACAAGTTATTTTCAACCTCTTACAGCTATTTAACATGACTACGATACAGATTAATAACTTTTTTTTCTTGTTATATTCATACTCTTGTAGCTTTTTAAAATTATTATTGATATCCTTTTGAATTCATTCAAATAAATGGTAATTCCGAGATACGTAATATAGCTAAATAGGAACATTTAAATTAAAACATAAAAACATTCAACATATTAATTGTTATCAGTATCTACCAAGTTAGCAATACAATTACGTCTACAACATAATTCATACAATGTCTAAAACCTTAACATTCAAAACAAGTAAAGAAAACAGAGGAATAGCTGAAGATATCAAAGTATCCAAAACATATAAGTGCAATGGTGAAGTAAATCCTTTCCATCTTAGCAAAATGCTTCAACAAAAAAGTCATCTCCACTGTGTAACCTGTAAGAAAGTGATCCACTATCAAAACAATAATCAAACTCAACTAAAACTTCCACTATTTAACTTATAAATAAAGCAAAGACTAGTTACACCATTCACAACTACGTAGCCACATTCACATATGTTTTGCAGTGAGTTAGAGGAAACATGACTTCAATGATGCACTAGACAAAAATTTAATGTCAAACTTGTAAGACATAGAGCATGGCTTACATGTATTGGTATGTAGATAGTTGGCGAAAGCATGAGTCTTCATTGCCTACATTTAAACCCGAAGAGAAAAAAAAACTTACTATCACAATCATATAATGTTTTGGTTAAAACAAATTTGCAATTAGTAGAGATTCCACATACCCCTTTAAAATATTATCAACAAGTCATGCCACATTACTTGAAATTGCTTCTTCATTGGTACTCATCTCACTCGTTGGCCTCCATAAAAAAGCGTCCGGTTTTTTTGCTACATCCATCCACACTCTAACTGCATTCGGTTTATATGATTGTAGATCACAATCATATAAATATATATATATATATATATATAGAGAGAGAGAGATCCTCAAATAATCATGTTACCAAACTCAAACAAAAAGTAGGCAATTCACAAGCAAAGTGAAATTCAGAAACTTGTATAACAGCTTGTTTAAAGGTACAAAACAGTTTGAGCAAGGTACAAAACAGTATTACAAGGTGTAATGCTGGCCAGTTTTGAGCACCAGAAGAACCGTTTGAGCACCAAAGACATAAATGAAATGTCACACTACCAAGAATGTAATTCTATTATTAGCATACTATTCCTACATTGGTAGCGATCACATCATATCAAACATAGTTGCGTGTATCAAAATTACCTCAGGAAAGTTGGCAAGTTTCGCTGGGTTTGGCGTGCCCATAACAAAAGTATAAGCTTTTTTTCCCCACTGCAGTTATCAGCTTTTCCTCTGATTACTCATGTGAAGACAAAATCAATCATGCTTTTCTCCCTCTACTGTTTCGGGAACATCACCACTTGCAATCCGCTGAGCAAGTCCCTCGGCTATTGCTGTTTTTCCAACACCAGGCTCTCCAATTAAGGAGAGCTTATTTTTGGTTCGCATGCCTAAAATTTGAACAACTCTTACTATTTGTTCTTGCCTTCAAATAAGAGGATCCAACTTACCCTAAAAAGAAGCAAGAAATAGAACTTACAAAACAGTCCATAACATGAGAAGTGCAAAGCTACAATCTTGTAACACATTAAAATTCTTATTAAGAAGAAAAGAAAAACCTCTTCTGCTAATAAGAAAAAAATACAGATAACAAGCATCATGTCATTCAATTACCACACAGATTATATACAACACACAGATAATAAGCATCATTTCATTGAATTACCAAGGCAGACAACAAATTGGAAGACAAGTCTTGCCTTGAAGACCAAAAGTGGATTTATAGACAAACGCAGATAATAACCAAGCTTTGGAATTGCTCATGAAAAAAAAAATGCTGGAACATATATTCACATCATGTATCAGAAAGCTAAGTAGTCTAGAAGTGAAAACAAATAACAAAAAACATATATATGTATTATGTATAGGCGACTAACCCTAATTAGGAAACAAAATAAACAGGGTATACGACAAAACCAAATATAAAGATCAATTGCTTTGTACCTCATCTCCTTATATTGCTGCTTTTACAACTCAAAAATCGAAAGAACAAGATTGTTTGCACATTAAACTCGTGATTTCAGACCCGTGGATAAACAGAGTATAAAAATTGAGTAAAAACAAAACTTTAATAAATAGCTTAAAACTTTAATAGGCTGACATTAAAACTAGTTCTAGCTCTAAAATTACCTGAGAGCTAATATAAAGCTTTCATCAAGCTTTTGGCAATGAGAGCCTCAACTTATTCATCACTTGTGCCATCTTCTCTGCAAATGAGACAAAAAAAAAATGGAAAAATGAGTAGTTAGCACTTAAAAAAGCCAATAAATCCAACAAAAATGATACCCAAATAGGAGCTAATATCATACCTGCTCAGGTGCACCTTTGCTTGCACACCATTTTTCCTTCACTGTTAATGTATGTGAGAGCTGTGCGCTTATCAATCAGGTTGAATGGAAGGAAATGCACAGTGTGAATACCGGCTCAGGCCTATTCGTGACCAAAAGAAGTAACTAGTAGAATATACAAAGGAAATAATGATCAATAAGACAATAACATCAAAGAAAGTCATTCATCATTTAAATATATACCTCCTTTGGAACAGGAAGCAAACTTGCAAACAAATATGAAAAAGTCTGGTGGTACCTCTATGAGATTTTTGTCAAACTGAAAGTTTGTTCAATGTCAAAGTTCTATTTTTGTCACTGCAAAGCACATCCATCCTGCTATTTCTTCTATAGCCGCCATTCTATGATTCTAGGTCCAAAAAAAAAAATTGAAAACAGAAAAAAATAATAATAATTGAACAAAAATCCACAACGTAGAGAGAAAGAAATTACTTCAACACATAATTCCTGATACTTATATATGCCTAAATCTATTTCCCAAATTAACAAAGATTGTGCTTAACACAGTCTCTACATTTAATCAATCAAGTAGATCTTCTCATTTGATTTTTGTCTGTTCCCGTTCATTATTTAACCAAAACCCTATAATCTAAGCAAACAACAATAAAAAAGGACCAGGTAAGATCAAATTGAATTCATCTCCAAAAAAAAAAAGTTCCAAAATTCTAAACAGGAGAACTAAGGCCGAATCTGAAGGAGAGATGACAGAGAAGAAAGAAGAAGAAGAAGAAGCAAGGCCACAAGGGTGGGTGACTTTTGAGAGAAAGAGAGGGTCACCGTGGAGAGAATAGAAGGAGCGGCGGTAGAGAGAAGAAACCCTAGTTTCACTTCAGTGTGGAGTGAAAAAATGAAGAAGAAAAGGCAGCGTGGAGGAGTGAAAAATGAGAGAATGACAGTGGGGGAAGCTTTTGTCGAATGGGTATTAGAGTAGCAAAAGCAGTGCAAAAAATAAAGAGGGAGAATAAGAGAGCGGGAATTTGAAAATTTGGGGAAGTAATTTTCAATGCCTGCCTAATATGATTTTGATGTGTATATACATATATATTTAAATATATATAAAATAAATATGTCAAAATATCATAAAATTTTAATATATATATATATATTCTAATTATTTCTAAACGCTATTATATACAGACGTAATAACGTTTTTTTTAAAAACACTGTAACTAACCGTTACGAAATATTTATTGTGGTGTAGTGTTATAATTTAACATATATATCTTTATATATAAATATTCACATTTTATATATAAATATAATTATATATCTAAAGTTTCAATCCAATAAACAGTAACCGTCAGTTAAAGACCTTCCCTATATATATATATCTCCAGCTGCTCAATCAATAACCAACTAAGAACGTGCTAAGCATCGCCGGCAAATGGGACAAGACAAGTGGGACGTCCCCATTCCGTACCAAGCGTCGATACACTCCACATGAAACCCATGATTGCATCCAGGAAGAATCCTCACCCTCTCTCCTCCTTCGAATTCCGCCAGACAAATCGGGCATTCCGTCACCGGAATCCTCATTCCCTCCTCTAACGATCCGTACAACATCTCCGGAATCTGACTCGCCACTCTACTATTTATACTACAGCTATCAATATTCTTCCCATGCTCAATTAGCCGCGGGCTTCTGAACATAATAACATTGTCAGCAGGCCGTATGACGAATATCTGCTGATGATCATCTGCGGAGGAAAATCTCCGACTCAATCTTAGAGCGCAGCGCAGAATCGAGTTCAATGCGACTGCAAAGATCACAAAACAGAGGAAAGCCGACAAGGCTATGACCATGTTCTTGTCGAAGTAAAGAAGCGAGCGGTGCTGTGGAGTAGTGCTGATCGCCATGTTTTTTTTTTTTTTTTTTTTTTTTTTTTTTTGAGATTTTTGGTTTAAAGAAAGAAGATTTTGTGATGTTGCAGAAATTTCAACCTGGATAAAAAAAAGTTGGACATATGGCAGACATGGGATATTTACTGGACTGGAGTTTAGTTTGGGATAGGGAAGTGGTTATCATCTTTGTGGCACCACGGAATGTGAAAACTAGTGGAATCGTGGCTCGTGGTTAGGGATTATGTTAGAATATATACAGAGATGATTCTTTCACATGGCCACGGGTTCTTTGATTAAATCGAACGTGAGAAATTAACAAACGAAAGGGAATATTGAGGGAGAAAAATATCTTTTTATTCGTCATCCACTTGTTCATGATAAAGATAAAGAGATGTGGAAGTAGGGCATGCCCTAAATAAGAAACGTGATAATATAAACAGTAGTAGTGTATATTACACACTCAGATTTTCTATTTAATTTTGGTGTCTAACCAATTATATAATGTCATATAGTGTAAAAAATTTGAACTTTTTTTTACCTAATTTTTTTGTACTTATCACGGGTTGATGTGGCATTATATGATTGATTAAACAACAAAAACAGGAGAAAAAAATCTGGTAACATACGTTACATGCAAAAATAACTCGTGTGTATTAAGTTGGACAAGCCTAGACTACTCTATCGCATAATATTCTAAATGGAGCTGATGCTATACCAAGGAATAAATCAGTTTTGTGCTTAAAGTGAATGGTAAATCATTCTTTTTAGGTTCTAAGCCCGTTTATTTCACTGATTTGAGTTTAGAATTCGAGTTTTGTTACAGTAAAAAACTCTCATAAACAGTCGCATCTAACTTTTTTACTCTAGTAAGAAACTCTCAAACAAAGTCACATCTAAACTCGAATTAACGATCTAAACAGTCCCTAAATACTTGCTTAGTCATACTCCATAGCCTATTCTTGGACCGCTACTCAACCAATGTATTTTGCAACGTTGGGTGGACGGTAGAATATAAGTAAAAACTAGATCCATCTTTCGAGTAAAAATATAAAATTGTTTCAGATTTTTTCCGTTTCATGTTTCATCGGTAGACCCCATGATTTTGAAAATAATGAAAGGGATCAAAGATGGGATATCATTAATGAGCGCTTTTTATTTCAGGACCAAAAAAAGCTTAATTAATCAGATACGTTTGTAGTAAAAAATAGAAGACGGACAAATGCATTATTCAATTGCATCGAAACTAAGTGGTACATAAGTACAATTATAACATATGACTAAAATCTGCCAGTTGTTAAACGTTTAAGAGTACTAGTACTGATTTTTCATACCCTATTCTTGAATCTCCTTGATCAAATTTACAAGCGGGGTTCCGGCACTTTAATAAAAGTTGCTGTCAGCTTCGCCAATAACTATGGATGAACAATGGCCCGGTGGCGATTACTGGCGAATTAAATGCTGGGAAAAGTGGAATCTGGATCCAGTTACCGGTACACTGGATTTTTACCCTTAATTATCTATTCCATAGTCATCATACTAGCTAATCTTAAATATTGTTTACACACTCTACTAGGCAATTATTACTAATTAATTACTTCAGAGCTATAAATTTATCTTTTTCTTCTTCCCCC